AGTATCATAATTTTATTTCTTTTTATGGCTGAGTAATACTCCATTGCATGTATATATACCACATTTTGTTTATCCATTCATCTGATGATGGATACTCGGGTTGCTTCTACCTTTTGGCTATTATGAATAGTGCTCCTATGAACATCAGTATATACATATCTATTTAAGTCCTTGCTTTTTACTTCCTTTGAGTATGTACCCAGAATTGGAATTGCTGGATCATGTGGTAACTTTGTTTAGTTTTGTGAGGACCCACTGTACAGTTTTCCACAGTGGATCCACCATTATATATGTTCTCAACAGTAACATGGATTCCAGTTTCTCTCCACACTAGTCAACAGTTACTATTTCCTAGGAGTTGTTTGTTTCAAATTAGCCGTCCTAATGGGTATGAAATGGTATTTCATTATGGTAATTTTCCCAGTGATAAGTGATTTTGAACATCTTTTCCTGTGTGTATTGACAATTTGTATGTCTCCTTTGGAGAAATGTCTACGTTTCTCCAATTTTGATTCAGTGTTTTGTTTTGCTTTGTTATAGTTTTTTTTACATATTCTGGATATGAGTACCTTATCAGATGAACGATTAGATCTATATTCTCTAGTCTGTGGGTTGCCTTTTCACATTCTTGATAATGTCTTTTGATGCACAGAAAAATTTTAAATTTTGATGTAGTTCAGTGTATCACGTCTCTTATTTTCGTTTGTTGTCGGTGCTTTTGGTGTCATTTCCCAAAGTTGCTGCCAAATCTAATGTCAATTGAAGCTTTCCTGTCTACATTTGCTTCTTAGTCTTCTATAGTTTCAGCTCTTGGTTTAGTTCTTTGATACAGTTTTAATTGACTTTTGCATACAGTATAAGATAAGGGTCCGCTTTATTTTCTTACGTCTGTTGTCTTGTTTTCTCAGCACCATTTATTGAAAGACTGTTCTTTCTCCATTGAATAGTTTTGGCACCTTTTTCGAAAATTATTTGGCCATATATGCAGGGGGTTTTCTCTGGTCTCTCTATTCTATTCGTCTATACAATTGTCTCTCAGTATCTGTGGGGGTTGATTAGAATCCCCAAATCCATGGACGGTCAAGTGCATTATCAACCTTAAGGTGGCATAGTATTTGCATGCAACCTACCTGTATATTTGTGTATACTTGAGTAATCTCTAGTATACTTATAATACCTAATACAATGTAAATGTCATGTAGTATTTATAATACCTAATGCAGTGTAAACACACTGTAAATAGTTGTTATGCTATATTTTTCAAATTTATGTATTTTTTTATTTTTTTCCAAATATTTTTGATCTGTTGGTTGAATTCATGAATGCAATCTGTAAATGCAGAGGACCAACAGTATATCTGTCTTTATCCCAGTCCTGCAGCGTTTTCGATTACTCTGGGTTTGTAGTAAGTTTGAAATCGGGAAGTGTGAGTTATTCACCTTTGTTCTTTTCCAATATCGTTTTGACTGTTAGGGGTCTGCTGCGATTCCATGTGGATTCAATTAAGAATTCAGAGTTAATTTTTGTATTTCCGCAGAATTGAATTGATTCAATTCAGAATTGATTTTTTCTATTTCTGCAGAAAATATGGAGATATAAATAGAGAAATATATGTATTGAATATGTAGATGGCGCTGGGTGGTGCTGAAAATAGACTTAAATAGAAAATAGACTTAAATTTTCTAATCCACAAATGCAGATGTCTTTACATTTATTTGTGTCTTTAATTTCCTTCAATATTTTATAATGTACCAGCCATTTGTCTCCTTGGTTTCTTAGTTTTTTTAAAAAATGTTATTGAAAATGGAATTGCTTTCATAATTTCCTTTTAAGATTGTCCATTGTTGGTTTATAGAAGCACAGCTGATTTATGTTTGTTGATTTTGTATCCTGTAACTTTGCTAAATTTATCAGTTCTAAGTTTGTTTCCTATGTGTGTGAACTTGTTAGGGTTTTGTAGATAACAAATGATGTCATCTTTGAACAGAGATAATTTTACGTCTTCCTTTCCAATTTGAATGTCTTATCTAAGTTTCTGACTAGGACTTCCAATGCTATGTTGCATAGAAGTGGCAACAGCAGGTATCCTTGTCTTGCTCTTGATCTTAGAGAAAAAACTTTTTAATGTTTCACTATTGAGTAAGATGTTAGCTGTGGATGTTCATACATGGGCTTCATTATGTTGTATTTTCCCTTTTTTCCTAGTTTGTAGAGTGTTTTATGAAAAAATGTTGAATTTTGTCACATGCTTCATCTGCCTCAATTGAGATGAGCATAAGATTTTTTTCCCCTTTAGTCTATGCGCATATTTATTGACTTTTGTGTGTTGAACCATCCTTGCATTCTAGCCATAAATCTCAGTTATGATATGTAATTTTTTTTTTTTTTTTTTACTTTCTCTTTTTAAGAGACAGGATCTCACTATTTTGCCCAGGCAGTAGTCCCTTAGCTATTCACAGACAGAGTCACGGTAATAATGGTAATAATGCTATTGTGAACATCAGTGTATGAATATCCATTTATACATTCTTGGCCTCAAATTGTCCTCCTGCTACAGTCTCCCAACTAGCAGGGACTATAGATGTTTACCTCTGCACCTGACTAACTGCATTTCATTAAAAAATATTTTGTGATGCCTTTCATTATTTATTTCCCTTTCTCACACAAATACCCTGGTCACATTTTGCCTTCCTTTCCTTTTTCCTTTTTCCTTTCCTTTCCGTCTTACTCTGTTACCCATGCTGGAGTGCAGTAGCACAATCACAGCTCACTGGAACCTGGACCTCCTGGTTCCAAGTGATCCTCCCATCCCTGCCTCCCAAGTTGCAGGGTCCTCAGGTGTGTACCTCCATGCCTAACTAATTTTTAAATTTTTTTCAAGTTGGAGCATCCCTGTGTTGCCCAGGCTAGTCTCAAACTCCTGGCCTCAAGTGACATTCCCACCTTGGCCTCCCAAAATGCTGGGATTACAGGCAAGAGCCACCACACCTGGCCTAACTTTGCTTGGAATTATGTGCAGTTTTATTTAGGAAGTGTGAATATCTTTTCATTACTGAGTCTGCACTTCAAATAACATGTATTATTCCTCCAGCTATTCGTGTCGATTTTTTTAATGTTCTGCAGTGGATAAGATTTTCTTCATACCGGTCCTGTGTCTGTTAGGTTTTTTTCTTAGACATTATGTATTTTGACCCTTAGGTGTATATTGATAAATGCCTGAATCATGAATACATATGTTTTACTTACTGGTTTCTCTAGATACAACTTTTGGAATAAAATAATGTAATCTTTTCCCTTTATATATTTTTAGCTCATGTAATAGCTTGGTAGCTTTTTTCATTCATAGGCTTAACAAAGTTACAGTAGACCTTAAATGTATGAAGAGTGTTGTAAAGAAAAAGTGAAATAAGAATGTTACCAGCTTCTTAAATCTTGCCTAAAGTGTTAGTAAACTGTTCAAGATGTTATTTTCTTATCATATCTTTTGTTTTATCATTGTAATCAGTGGAAGTATATTTATTTTACAGAATTTCACTTTAAGATTGTGTGTACCAGTTCATCTTCAAGTGAAACTGTAGCAAAAATTTCTCATTCAAAATACACATTAAAGAAACATTTTAGTGATGGTTATTTACTATATAAAGCAAGTGTATATTAGAATCCTTTAAATTTATATATATATATATATATATATATATATATTTTTTTTTTTTTTTTTTTCCTTTTTGAGAGAATTTTGCCCCGTCATTCCCAGGCTAGAGTGCTGTGGTACGATCTTGGCTCACTGCAACGTCTGTTTCCTGGGTTCAAGTGATTCCCCTATCTCAGCCTCCTGAGTAGCTGGGATTACAGGTGCACACCACCACACCTGGCTAACTTTTGTATTTTTAGTGGAGATGGGGTTTCGCCATGTTGGCCAGGCTAGTCTTGAACTCTTACCTCGTGATCTGCCCACCTCAGCCTGCAAAGTGTTGGGATTACAGGTGTGAGCCACTGCACCCAGCCTGCTGAAGTATCAATTTCTTTTAAACACTGCTTTTTCAAAATGCTGTATCTATTCAGTAAAATCACAGTGTGCTACAGCATGATATATATGTAGACCATCTATAGAGTTCTTTTAATTCTCTGCAATAGACTTCATTCTCAAATGATTTTTCTCCTATGTCAAATTTCTGAGAACGATTTTATTTCTCTAGAACTCTACTTTAGCAAGGATTAAAATTTGGAGAATAGCAAACTGACTTTTTCTTAAGTATTTCCTTCAGGTAATGTTGGTAGTGTTGAGGAAATAACAGGTTAGAATGTATCCACTTCAGACAACAAATGGTTATACTTTCTTAATTCTTGGCCAAGGTACTTGTGATCTTTTAAAATGTATTGAGGCTGGGTGCAGTGGCTTACTCCGGTATTTCCAGCACTTTGGGAGACCAAGACGGGTGAATCACTTGCAGTTGGGAGTTTGAGACCAGCCTGGCCAACATGAGGAAACCCTGTTTCTACTAAAAATACAAAACTTAGCTGGGTGTGGTGGCATGCACCTGTAATCCCAGCTACTTGAGAGTCTGAGGCAGGAGAATCCCATGAACCCGGGAGGCAGAGGTTGCAGTGAGAGATTACACCACTACACTCAAGCCTGGCTGACAGAATGAGACTCCGTCTAGAATAAGATAAGATTAAAATAAAGTAGTTTAGTTTTACTAAATTCAATAATACACAAAAGATGGGAAGAGGATAGGTGATTTAGGTATGAATTTATTGTCTATTATGTCCTTTTTATTATTTTTTACATAGGACAGAAAAGCAGTAATTCAGGCTTTGACAATACTTTGTTAGACTTTGTTTTAAGGATGTTTTTTCTTTCTATTTTTTCGAGACAGTCTCGCTCTGTCACCCAGGCTGGAGTGCAGCGGTTATGGTCTCAGCTCACTGCAACCCTTGACTCCTGGGTTCCAGCGATTTGCCTGCCTCAGTCTCCCAAGTGCTGAGATTACAGGTGTGTGCCACCATACCTAGCTAATTTTTGTGTTTTCAGTAGTGACAGGGTTTGCCATTTTGGCCAGGCTGGTCTTGAACTCCTGACCTCAAGTGATTCCCCTGCCTTGGCCTCCCTTTAGAATGCTGGGATTACAGGTGTTAGCCACCACGCCTGGCCTGGGAAGTTTTTTTTTCTTATTTTTTAAGAGTTCTGATTTTCACAAATGAATAGTGAATGGAAGCACTTAAACTCCTTATATCTTGTCTTTAAAGTGTTTTTTTATCTTTATTTTTTATTTTTATTTTTTGCCTTTCACCTTCCCCCGTGCTTGACATATCCCAATTAGATGGACAATACACTTATACTGCTGATTCTTTTGAGTTGTAATATCGATGCCAAAGAAGTGTAGAAAATAAGATTTGATCTTTTCAGGCTATAAACTGTTACCTTTATTATTTTTGTCCTTCTAAATAATTTGGAATGTTATCATTCACATTAGAGTACCCAGCAGATGTGAAGGAAAATATATAAGCTTAGTGAAATTTGACTGCTCACTTTTTTAATTGTTCATTGGGAAATGAAAGAGGTCTGGCATATGTTGAAGTTTATTACAGACAAAAATAAAAATGAAGCAGAATCTAGATGCATTACCATTTTGTACCTTTAATAGCTTTTTCTTCCTCTGTTCCAAAGTTTTCCAGATACTGTAGCCTGCTTTTTACTCTGGTGATAAAGAGGAGGTTTCTGAGAAGCGTGGTAGAAATAATGTGGGAACATGGAGAAGAACTGAATTAAGGTCAGGGAAGCTATAAACCTTTGAGTGCTTTTGGGATGTGCTGTGCTCTGTGGGAGGCTGTGTGTATGAGTTCAAGCTTGAGAAACTTTCTTGATAAAAATGTGACTATTAACATTTACTGTTCCTTCCTCTTAAGAGTCTCTTGAGAAGATGAATTTTTATTTAAATGCTGTTTTGTCACTTTTTTTCTGATTATAAAATGCTCACAGATATTTTGTCCTTAGAATTATACCTATCCCTCACAGATAACCTGAAACATAAATATAATAATAACAGAATATGTTGCAAAGATAGGAATTTACTGGTGATTCCTGATAAATTGGAATCTCTAGTTTGTAAGGACAATAGTCTCAATCTTTGGCTTCTTCTTTTTTTTTTTTGAGATGGATTTTCCCTGTTGTTACCCAGACTGGAGTGCAATGGCACGATCCTGGCTCACCGCAACCTCCGCCTTCCGGGTTCAAGCAATTCTCCTGCCTTACCCTCCTGAGTAGCTGGGATTACAGGCACGTGCCACCATGCCCCGCTAATTTTTGTATTTTTAGTAGAGACAAGGTTTCACCTCATTGACCAGGATGGTCTCGATCCCTTGCCTCGTTATCCACCCGCCTTGGCCTCCCAAAGTGCTGGGATTATAGGTGTGAGCCACCGCACCTGGCCTACTTCTTTTTTTTTTTGAGATGGAGTCTCACTCTTATCAATAGGCTGGAGTGCAGTGGCGCAATCCCAGCTCACTGCAACTTCCGTTTTCTGGTTTCAAGCAATTCTCCTCCCTCAGCTTCCCAAGTAGCTGGGACTATAGGCATGCACCACCATGCCCAGTTAATTTTTTGTTTTTAGTAAAGACAGTGTTTCACCGTGTTGGCCAGTATGTTCTTGATCTCCTGACCTTGTGATCCACCTGCCTCAGCCTCCCAAAGTGCTGGGATTACAGGCGTGAGCCACTTTGCCCAGTCTGTCTTTGCCTTCTTTAGCCTTGTAATGTGATTGGTATTATACAGACTGTCCCCAGTTTCTCGACTCTTATTATGACTTGAGCGCCTGCTCTAGGAAGGCTTTTGTCCCCATTACTCCAAGGAAACTGCTGTGATCGAGGTTGCAGGTGACCTCCTCTTTTTAAAATCAAGTATTATTTCCCAGTCTTCATTTTACTGGGCCTATCAGCAGTATTTAATATGGTAATTGCCTTCTTTTCCTTCAAGTACTTTGTTTATTTTGCATCCTAGGACTTTATGGTCACTTGGTTTTTCTCCTATCTGTCTTTCTTGCCTCTTCTTGGAAGGGATTCCTCATATCTACAGTCCTTTAAGGGCCAATTTCTTGGATGTCTTTTTTATCTACGCTCTTGTTCTTGGTCATATGTATTCCTATAACCTTTAAAACTATCTATATGCCATAGACTTCTATATTTATGTTTTTGTTTGGATCTTTCCCCTAAATCTCAGACTCTTATTGAAACAGCCTATTCATTGTTTTTATTTTGATGTCTAATAGGCATCTCAGACTTAATATGTCCACAGCTGAGCTCCTGATACTAATCTGCTCTGCTCTGAGTCATCATCATCCAGTAAATAGCAACTCCATCTTTCTAGTTTAGGTTTCTTGCATTCGTCTTGGACTCCTTTCTCTCATATCCTGTGTCCAAACTGTCAGCAAAGTCTTGTTGGTTCTATCTACAAAATATATTCAGATGCCAGGCAGGGGGCGGTAGCTCACACCTGTAATATCAGTACTCTGGGAGGCCAAGGTGGGTAGATTACTTGAGTCCAGGAATTCAGGACCAGCCTGGGCAACATGGTGAAAACCTGTCTCTACTAAAAATACAAAGAATTAGCCAGGTGGTGTGGTGGTACACATCTGTAGACCCAGCAACTTGGGAGGCTGAGGTGGGAGAATCGACTGAGCCTGGGAGGTTGAGGCTACAGTAAGCCCAGATCATGCCAGTGCACTCCAGCCTGGGTATGAGAGTGAGACTCTGTCATTCATAAATAGATAAATAAAATGAAATTCAAATTCTAACATGTCATCTTTTCTATTACCATTACACTAGTTCACACTATCATTATCTTTTGCATAGATTTTCCTCTTCACAGTCTCTTGAGTTTGTTTCTAGTAGCCACTTAACTAGTTACTTGTAACTAGATATCTAACTGCCTCCTAACTAGTACCCACAAAAGTCTGTGGTATCTATAGCAAATAGTTAGATTATGTTACTTCTATGGTCAAAGGCCTCCAAAGGCTTATAAATTGCTTAAGAATAAAAGCTGAAGGCTTTATTAAGACCCGAGAGACTGCATGATATCCTGCTTTGTAGTCATTCCACATTGACACTGTCTTCTGTTACTCTCTGACTTGGGTATTTTTTTTTCCAGCCACATTGGCATTCTTGCTGTTCCTTGAACATGCCAGGTCTGGTCTCCCTGTATGGCCTTTGCACTTGTTTCTCTGTCTAGAATATTTTTTTCAAAGATAACCACATGACTTCACTTCTTTCAGGTAAGTATGTTCAAATGTTAGCATGCTTGCTCATTGTGGTCTTCTTTGAAGACTACCTTATCTAAGCTTGATCTCTTTACTCCCCTCAACATTTTCTATCATCTATCACCAAATATCACTCTATTTGTGTTGTCTATTTCTTCTTTAAAATAAAAATTATTTATTTTAAAGACTGGTTCTTGTTCTGTTACCCAAGTTGGAGTACCATGGTGTGATCATAGCTTACTGCAATCTGAAATTCCTGGGCTTAGGTGATCCTCCCAAGTAGCTGAGACTACAGATGTATACCACCATACTCAGCTAATTAAAAAAAAATTTGTGGAGACTGGGTGACACTATGTTGTCCATGCTGATCTTGAACTCCTGGCCTCAGGTGATCCTCCCTCCTCAGCTTCCCAAAGTGCTGGGATTACAAGTAGGAGTCACTGCACCTGGCCCTTGTCTCTTATTTCTGCCATACTAATCATTGTACTTTTTCTGCATTAGAATTAAATTGCTCCATTAAATGGACTTTTGTCATCTTTGATAAACTGTATTTTCAGTATTGAGAACATTGTTTAGTAGATAGTAGGTACTGGCAAAAAATTAGCTGGGCAGTAGGTATTCACAAAAAATTAGCTGGGCATGGTGGTGGACACCTGTAATCCACCTAGTTGGGAGGTTGAGGCAGGAGAATTGCTTGAACCTGGGAGGCAGAGGTTGCAGTGAGCTGAGATTGCACCATTGCACTTCATCCTGGGCAACAAGAGTGAAACTCTGTCTCAACAAAAAGATACTAGGTATTCAATAATTATTTGTTGAATTAGATAGAAATGTGCTAGAATTTTTTTGAAATTTATCTTTAATTCTTTGAGATGTGTTATTTTTATTTTGAAAGAACTGGTAAAGCCAAGAAAAGAAAACTTTAATATGTATATATGAAATCAGAAAACTCTTACCCATCCTTTATATAATCCAACTTCTCCATTAAGCCTTTCTATCATACAAACTATAATAATGCCACACTTTCATAATGTTCCTTCTCTGAATATGTATAGCACTTATTACCACATAATATATTTTGTGTGTGCATGTAATATAGTTTGAGTGACTCATAAGTCACTGTTAAGAATTGACTCTCAGTAAATATTTTGAATGCATAAATATCAAGTATTGATTAAGCATGTGGTCAGTGTTGTAGGCTAATAGCATTTAAGATGTAGTCCCATTCTAAAGAAATTTCTACTTCTAATGGAGAGAGGTGATGAATGTAGGTATTCAGCAGTTGATTCATACTACTGTATACAGTTGTAGTATATTTGGAAATATGTTTGTTACTTGTTCCCAGTTCCTGGCAGAGAGCTTCTGATATCCTTGGAATTTCCTGAGTGATAGGGGTGATAGGAGTGTCATTTGTTCTATGAGGCAACCCTTGGTGGGCTTCTGGATAACTTCAGGATGTGACCTGGTCACCAGAAAGACCAAATCTTGATTACAAACTTTGAACATTCTCACCTTCATGCCCTAACCTGTGGGGAGGGGAGAGTGACTGGAGATAGAGTAAATTACCAGTGGCATATGTAACTAAACTTCTATAAAAAGGTTGGGATTGGTGGCTCACACCTGTAATCCCATTATTTTGGGAGGCCAAGATGGGTGGGTGCCTTGGAGCTGAGGACTTTGAGACCGTCCTGGGCAACATGACAAAACCCCATTTCTACAACCAATACAAAAATTAGCAGGGTGTCATGGCTTACACCTGTAGTCCCAGCTACTTAGGAGGCTGAGGCTGGAGAATTGCTTGACACAGGAAGCAGAGGTTGCAGTGAGCCAAGATCCTGCCTCTGCACTCCAGCCTGGGTGACAGAGTGAGACCCTGTGTTAAAAACAAAACAGAAACACACACAAAAAACAAACAAACAAAACAGAATCCTGTAAATGATGGAATTTGGAGAGCTGAGAGGGTGACACCATGAGAGAGGGTATGGAAGCTCCTTTGTTTCCTACCTCACCCCATGCATTTCTTCTATTTAGTGGTTCTTGGGTTATATCCTTTATAATAATCTAGTAAGTCAAATGCTTTCCTGAGTTCTGTGAGTTATTGTACCAAATTACCAAACCTGAGGAGGGGTCATGGGAGCCCCCAATTTATTGCTGTTCAGTAGATCAGTCAGAAGATTGGGGAACCCCATGCTTGTGACTGGTGTTATGAAGTAACAGCAGTCTTGTGAGACTTAAATCTGTAGAGTCTGATGCCAACTCTGGGTAGTTAGTGTCAGAATTGAATTGAATTGTAGAGCACCTCGTTGATATCAGAGAGTTGGAGAAATGGTATTGGTAAACACATCATGTATTTGGTGTTAGGAGGAAGAAACCTGAATAATTAAGGATTGAATTATGTGGTAATAAGTGCTATAGATATTAAGAGAAGGAACATTATGAAAGTGTGGCATTATTATAGTTTCTATGACAGGGAGGCTTAATGGAGAAGCCGGATTATATAAAGGATGGGTAAGAGTTTTTTGTGTTTGATGAATGGAGTACAATCCAGAGAGGAGAATAATGTGAATGTTTGCCTGGAGACAAGAAATGTCTGGTATGAAATAGAAACACTTGGCACGTTTTTATGCCATCTTTAAAACTTTCTTTCCATTTTCTGGTTGGTTACATTTTGAATTATAAGGCATTTATGTGCATTAAATACATAACATTCTGCGGCATTGCTAGAAGTTGTGTAGATGATATAATGATCTAAGTCTCTTTTTAGAAATTTTAATTTTAATGGCTCTTTGGAGTCAAATTCAAAAGAATAAACATGACTACATTTACATCCTTCATATATGTTCAAAACTTTCTTAATATATTTTGTATATGCGTGTAATATAGTTTAAACTGTGTTGTAAGTTCTTTGGTATCCTAGGTTTATTGAGAGTAACTGATATCAAAATGATGTATACCCAGGTTTAAAAATTGTTTACTTTTTTTCTCCCTGGCAATCTAGGACATTCTACTTCTGGACTTGTTCACTATACGTTTTAACCTTTAATGGCAAAACCCAACTCTCCTGATCAGCCTTCCTGAATCTTTGGACAGTATTTTTGGTTGCTTGTCTGTACATCATTTTACCAGGTCTGACTTTCTAGTTTAAGATCTTACCAGTTAGTTTGACTAGTCATCAGTATGTACATTTAACATCTTAGATGTGTAGTCCACAGAATAATGTTTAACAAATAACAGGTGCTATATAAATATTCTTGCATGTTTACATGTCTGGTAGATGTTACTCACTTGGCTCTCCCCTGCTTCAAAAACGCCTAAGCTGTTAACGTTGAGAAGAGGATTGAGAGGAGCAGAATACAAAGATATTTATTAAGGTAATTATAATAGCCATAGAATAACTGAGGCCAGAGAACTGAAAGTAGTTGAATAATGAGAATAAAAATAAAGGAAGAAAGTTGAGTATGGCGGTACAAAGGACCAAAGTCAGAGTTTTCTTCACTCCCACCATATATTGGAGTTAACCCTTTTTGCTAACAGCTGGTTATGATGTGATTTTGTTGAAAATTTGGGTGATGCTTAGAAAAGGAAAGCTGAAAAGAGGGCATTTAAAAGTAAAGCTTGAGAATACAGAGAAAAGAGAATTCAAAATGAGATAATTATGAGAAGGACTTATGATCTAATGCAGGAGGAAGGGAGGAATAGTTGGTATTAGTTTCCATTAATATAGTACTTGCTGTATGCTACACATTGTCTTAATCTTAAGCACTTTATATGCATTAACTTAGTTTGTCCCCATGGAAACTTTCTAAGTTCATTGCTGTTATATTTTCCATTTTATAGATCTGAAAACTGAGGAATAAAGAGGCTAGAATAATTTCTCAAGCACATGCATAGTATAACTGATAACTGGTATTTGAACCCAGATTCTATGACTCCAGAGTCCACTTTCTTTTGTGTTATACTGGGTCCTGGTGAGAGAACCCAAGGACACCTTTAGGCGTTACAGAATGAGGTGACTGTCAAGACTCAGTCTAAACCATGTAAAAAAGGGTGGGTCTTCTAAATCAATGGATTTAAGAGAGCTTTAAGTTCATTTGTATATACAGTACTGTTTTACACACTGCCTTTTTCTGTTTGTCCCTTTTTCCTACAATCCCTTTGCCATTTCACCTACTCTGTGCCTGGTTAATTCCTCCTGTCCTTTTAAGGCATAATTCTTCCAAGAAGTTTTCCCTGACCTCGAGCACTTTTCCTTTTACTTTTTTTTTTTCAAAAGTTTGTGTTAGTGACTTCATAGTAGGTTGACTTCATAACTATTAGTTGTATTAATCAATCTATCTGAACCGTGTTTTTTTTTTTTTTTAATCTATAAATAGGTACTGTTTTACCTAAAAGAGTTGTTATATGAATTCAGTGAAATTTTATGAAGCAGTTACCACGGTGCCTTTTTATGTTTTCTTTACTAAACTTGGTTGTGCACAGTTGGTGTTAGGGAGACTTCAATAGACAGTACAGTAATAAAGGTCAGTAACCTTGAGGCTCAGTCTTCAAGGAAGATACCTTCAATTAAGATTTCTTCAATATTCAGAAACAATCTGAATTGTTGTGGTTCTTTCTCTTTTTGTCTCCTGGGTTTCTAAGAAGTGGATCATAGAAACTTTTTGTAAAGGCTGTATATCTACCATTATTTGGTGGAAGTTAAGAGAATGTGTTTGAATTTTGTTGATTAGAAACTTCTGAAGGCAAAAACAATGTAATTAGAATCATTTGAGGTATTATAAAGGCAGATATCAATGTTTGGATGTTTATTGAAATTGTCTGCAGAATTTTCTTACTGATTTGAGTAACTCCCTTAAATTTTTTTTTCTTGAGACAGAGTCTTGCTCTTGTCACCTCACCCAGGCTGGAGTGCAGTGGTGTGATCTCAGATCATTGCAACCTCCGCCTCCCAGGTTCAAGCGATTCTCCTGCCTCAGTCCTGAGTAGCTGGGATTACAGGTGCCTGCCACCATGCTCAGCTAATTTTTGTATTTTTAGTAGAGAGGGAATTTCACCATGTTGGCCACGTTGGTTTCAAACTCTTGACCTCAGGTGATCTACCCGCCTCTTGGCCTCCCAGAGTGGGCAATAGATACTGAAAAAGTCTCCATCATTAATTCTGATTTGTTTTCTGTAATGTACCTACATTTCTCAGTCTCTTTACACTGTCTATAGATTAAGTTTGCTTTTATATCTCACTGTCGCCTTAGACATCAATGGATCTCATTCCTTTGCTGCATACTCGCTTTTATCTTATTGGTAGGTTTCATCATTCTTGCAACTGATAGAGAAATAAGTTCCTAGTTAACTTTGTTATGTCAAATTACTTCTAAAAAAATAGACAGTAGACTAGAAAGACTGCAGTATATATGTCAGTGAAGTGATTTCATTACATAACAAGTGATTTTTTTTGTGATATACATGTTGTCTACATATGCTAGTATTAGAGAATTATATGGTCTATTTGTCAATTATTTAAATAAAATAATTTGAGGTGACTTTTATTAAGGATAACTATGAATAAGATTGATAAAATGTAAATAAGGCCTTAAAAAACATCCATGTAAACGGAGTTGGTTCAGTAGAAATATCCTCCACAGCTTAGATGCATGAACAAATAAGTGTTTAATTCTGAATTTGTTACTTGTGTGGAGTTGGTGAGTGTCAGGGATATATTTGGTAAATCATAAAATAAAAACATGTTTTAAGAGATTTTTTTTTTCCTGGCTCTGAGTTAAAAAAGAATGTATTTTTTCTTTAATATTAAATGTCGTAATTAATAGTAAGTGATGTTTATAATGGTTTTGTGGTTTATATGGAGGTGTTCTTTATATGGCTTTTTAAAAATAATTTTCAGTGAAAGCTAGGGACAGCATTACACAATAACTTCCTGTTGGTTCTACAGAGAAGAAAGCTAGTGCGATCTAAATACACGGCTTTAAAACATGATAGAATTTTGAGTAGTACTAATAGGCATTAATACTTTATTCTGTGGTATTTGAAGACCGTTTTCACACTTGCTTCTTCAAATATCAATATTATTTAGTCTTTGACGGGTGTTGGCAGTTAAAAGATTAAAGTGTGAGGGGGCAATCCCAGATTTAAAACCCATTCAGCAAATACTTATTGCATGCCGTGTACATATCAGGCACTGGGAATACAGTAGTGAACAAAGTGGACCAAATTGCTGCCCTTATGGAAATCAGTTTATGGAAGGAGAGACAAAAGATAAGAAGATAAATGAGAATGATGAATGGTATGTAAGATAGAGATAAGTGCCAGAAAGGAAAATAATAGCATGAATGTTGTGGGGATAGAGGTGACATTTTAGATAAGATAGCCAGAGAATGCATCTCCGAGAAGGTGACTTTTGAGTGAAAACCTGAGAGAAACAAGGAAGCTAGCTAGTCACGTAGATGTCTGGAGTAAAATTGCAGGCATAAGGAAGAGTAAGTACAGAACCCCTGAGATTAGGAATAAGCCTACATATTTGAGGAACAGTGAATGTGGTATGGTAAGAGAGGAGTGAAAAGCGGGAGAGAAGAAGAGATCAGAAGGGAAACGGGATAGTTTTTGAAGGACCTTATAGACCATTAAGGATTAAGATTTTATTCTGGATGAGATGGGAAGCCGAGTGAGGTGGTTTTAAAAGGATCCCTCTACTTTATTTGTTGATAGTAGACTGTTGGGGTATGGGGTGAGGCAATTGTAATGATTCTGTGGTAGCATTAGATCACGGTGATAGCAATCAGAAGTGGTGAAAAATTCTCAGATTCTTATTTATTTCCAAAACAACTGTTAAGAGTGGGTTGCTGAATTGCATCTGATGTGAGATACAGGGTTAAAGATGGGTTCTAAGACTTTTGGCTCCTGCAAAAGATAGAGTTAACATTTTTTTTTCAGATGAGGATTGACTGGAGGAGCAGAGATTTTGGAGAGTAGTGGTGATAGTGGTAATAATACTGGGGATTAGGAATCTGGTTTTTAGATAAGTTTAGGTGCTTATTTAGACAGGCAGTTACTCAAAGTATCACGTTTATTAGTTCAAGGGAGAGGTCTAGGCTGGAGAATCTGGGAGGAGTCATTATATAAACGGCATTTAAAGCTGTTAGAATGAATGAGTTGATGTAGAGAGTGAATATAGATAAACATATCTAAGTATTAAACCCTGGGGCAGTTTTTAAAGATTAGGTAGATGAGAAAGAAGAGGCAGGGAGGTATGAAATTCAGAAGCAATATTCAGAAAGTTTAGTGGAGTAAGTGTTTCAAAGAGGAGGGATTACCAGTTTTGTCAAATGCTGCTGAGTGAAGTAAGATAAAAGCTGAGAATCTACAATTCACTTTTAGATAATGCATCATTGATAATCTTGATCAGCAGTTTTAGTGAAATAGTGGGAACAAAAGCCAGATGAAGTAAGTTTAATAGAGAACTGGAGGTAGTAGATTAGAGACAGATTAGTCTTGGCATTTGGAAAAAGAAATGGAGCAGAGCATTAGGAGGAAGATGGGATTTTAGAATGGAATGGAAGACAATATACCGTATTTGTATGTTGATGGAAACAATTCAGAGATAGGATTAAGTTGATGATGCAATTAAGGAAGAATTGTTAGAACTATCCTTAGATAGTAGCAGAGTTGGCCTTAGATAGTACCATAAACTTACTCCCTAGTAACAGAAAAGAAGGAAGAGATACTGTAGATAGATAGGTAGTGACAAAGAGGTGAGAGCTTGTGGAAATCTGATTGGTTCTGCTTTTCTTTCTTTCTTTCTTTCTTTCTTTCTTTCTTTCTTTCTTTCTTCTTTCTTCTTTCTCTCTCTCTCTCTCTCTCTCTCTCTTTCTTTGTCTTTCCTTTCTTTCCCTCCCTCCCTCCCTCCCTCCCTCCCTCCCTCCCTCCCTCCCTCCCTTCCTTCCTTCCTTCCTTCCTTCCTTCCTTCCTTCCTTCCTTCCTCTTTCTTCCTTCCGTCCGTCCGTCCGTCCGTCCCGCATTGTTGCTAGGCTGGAGTGTAGTGGCGTGGTCTCGGCTCACTGCAACCTCCGCCTCCCGGTTTGAGTGACTTGGTTCTGCTTTTTAGTGAAATAGTAGCTGATGGCATTGTGATTTAAGAAGTTGTGAAATAGTCATCTAGCAGAGTAGAGATTGAATGAAATAAGTTATGTACAGCAAAAACTGACTTAACATGGTCATGATTTTTTAACTGACATCGTTAATCTTTGAGGAATTCATCATTCATTTCCCTACAGTCACTCATCTCCAGCTATGTTCAGCTGATTGATTAGATACAGAAACGAAGTAGGCAGAGAGTTGGATTTATTGATGATTGAGGTTTGGCTGG